TAGTCGATGACACGAACGTCTAATAATTAAGCATACCTTTACCGACCTATCTTGGTGACACCTTTTCAAGCTGCGCATGTCAGCATCCAAACACTGCCTGTGTTCTATCTTCCGGATTCAAGCATTTGGTCGTGACAGCACAGGTAGTGTAACTACGGTTGAAACGTACTTTATTGTTTGTGTGTTTACGCGCGGTTGACTGCAGGCAATATTACATTGGAGGAGACTGTAACGATCATGCGATAACTAATACGCAGGCGATCAGTGAATGAAGTGCTGAGACAGTGACGCCATGTCGACGCTATGCATGAGCCCTCATAAGAATTGTTTCGCGACTGTCGGATTACCGTCGTGGCTTCACCGCGGCTGTCGACCATGCTTACTCTGTGTACTGTTCATCCTTGTCGCCTCCGTCCTCCTCTTCCTTCTCCGTCCTGTCGTTGATATCTTCATTATTACCACTATTCACGGTTGTTTCGAAAGTAGCCGAGTCCAGTTTGCACCGACTGGGGTCCAAATGTTTACATAATACGAGCCCAAGCCATTGAGATAAGTGAAAAATGAAAATAACCGCGAATGTGTGGAAAGTGGAGTAAAATTGAGACAAAATGAAGATCCAGCCGCTTCACGGGAAACGGAATTTTTGTGAAGTTTTGAGTGCAGTGTCCACATTCTCTTACTCGCTTGAGCTGATAACACATGTTACAGTGATGTTGAAGCACGGTTTCGTTATTACGTTGTGGTTGGAAACTACCATATACAAACTTTCCATGTCCATCACATTAAAGACTGGAGAGCGAACATTGTCAGTTCCCCAAAACTGGTAACACCATTCTAGCCTGATTTCCGTTCAGTTGTACTTCGCACAAATTAACAGACTGAGTCGTTCCAACACGTGGGGTTCTTCAAGTTTGAATGCCACACACGTGTATCGCAATCTTTTTATTCAAGTAGACTTTTTCGGCCGATTTATTACGCGAAGAACCATCAAAATATCAAAACTTCACATCTGTTAGAGGTCACCAGCAATAAATATCCTAACCCACGGGCCTAAACTTGATCCATGTCTTTATGAGGAGAACATGTTGACAACTGCTCTGAATGTGATCTCCACAAGCCCACAGAAGTACCTCCTGATTTCTGCAGATATTTGCTATGATTAAATTGATTCAGTGGAATTCATTTTTGGAGTCTGGAAACGTTTGTCACTGGTCTACTTACTTCTAAAACCTGAATTCTCAGCGTAGGTAGACGTTGTGAATAGTAATACTAATTTTCCATATTGCTATTTTTAAACCCAATTAGGTAGCCTCAGGGTTTTGGTGGAGGTAATTTTGCTTTCTTTATATGCTATCCCCCAGATTCCGCCGCTTCCCATGCCTTTGAATTTATGGATTCTATCCTTGATCTGAGCGTGGAAACCGAACCACAGGATTTATCTGACGGGTCTGGTAAATCTGTCGTTTTGGCCGTAGCAGGTAGCACATCCAGTACAGCTGCGCCGTCCAGCTCAGACAGTGCCAGTGGCGGTACAGAGGTTGCTGTCGGTCCAGACCCTCTAACCCAACTGCTAACGGCACTCAGTCGTTCGGCTATGGAGCAGGCTCCAGATGATCCCCTTTATTTGGCTTACGCAAGAATAATGGGTAAGGTAAGTGGTTTTTGGTAAATTTCTCAACTAGCGATTGTGGTGAATCAATACGTCTGTCATCACGCCGGGTTAAGGGAAAACCGATGACTCCATTGATGATAATCCAGAAAAACTAAACCGTTAAAGTTTAGTGTGTGGTCGTGGAGCACAGTGTTATGTCTAGAAACATAAGCGAGGCAATCCTGGTTGACCAAACAAACGATGTAACCATATGGATACATACTAAAGCGATCGTTGAGAGTACAGTTTTCACTGTAGCTCATCTAAGAAAGACACTGCACAGAGTAAGTTACATGTCTCCTGCTACTCGGGTCAGGCGGTCTTCCTTTACGGATATTGTAATCTTCCAAGTTGAACGAACGGTTTTCTGTCTGAATGAAAGCAGAGATTTCAGGGATTAAGTATTTGGGCCCATCATCAACGTACACATGCTTGTTGCATACGCCGTGCATTTTATCCTAGATTACCACTCTGACCCTTCTATTTATAAGCAGCCGCTAACAGCAAAAGTTATTCCGACGCTCTTGCATCAGTTGGTCGTCGAGATTTGGATAAGTTGACATTATTTAGCAACCAGCAACGTCTGCTGTAGGTGCTACCTCGAGTGACCCAGGCCTGACTGTCATATTCATTTTTTGACACTGATTCGATTAGCTTCGAGTGTGTTTACTGACCCCGCCCCCCATCGCACAGTTCTCTCTGTCGATGGTTACACAAACTAACCAGAACTACCGTGTACGTAACTACCTATCTATCAGATGCATCTATCTAATGAAAACTGTTGACTGTGACGCACTAACTGTGGACTCCATTGGTTTTTCGTTTCTCATCGCGGTTTTCCTTTAAATAAGATTCCCTCTGTTACTCCCCCCCACCAGTGGCAACTGGCAATCACAACATTAGGGTTTCCAATGAGAAACATGTTTTACAAGAGCTCTCTACTCATAGTTTGATGAATTGAAAGCAAGAGAAATCTATCCATTCTTTTTGTTCTTCGCTTAAATTTGGCAAATCACTCCTTCATTTTCAGAGCTGCAGCGGGAAGGATGAAGAGGATGAGGAAGAAGAAGAGGAAGAAGAGGGCGCAACGTTCCAGGTAGGTTTCTTGCCTTAACAGCGTGATTCTTACACAGACACCTAAGTGAATGCTGTTAAGTATCCCCCGTGAAATCAGAAACGAGACTGGGTTCAGATCACCGTAGTGTAAAAAAAGCCCTAGTTAAACTCAATACTCAAATCTATTGATCAGCTCGTTTGCCCGTCTTCATTGACCGATGGTTTGCTTGCTCCTATTGGATGTCGTGTCCGTTATCTTGTGTCCATAATTTTGATTTCATCGAATAGCGTTGCTCTTTTTGTTGGTGGTTTTGCGCATACTGATTACACAATGTTGGTCGCCGTCTTCGAACGCTACAATTAATACACACCATGAATTAGTTGCCACATCGTAAGATTATTGTCCGGTATATCTAGCTTTGCTGATTTTTTTGAGATTACGTCCGTTCCAATCGATAATCAGCTTTAACCATCATCACACATGCTTCGGAACATTTTCTTCTCTCCCGCAACGGTTTATGTATACCTCGTTTTGATCTATGTTTCAAATAATAGTTTGTTTTAACAAAGCTGGTAAGTCGCTGTACATTCCAGTGTGTACGACGTTGTTTCGCAACAAACCGCAGCGCACAGATCGGCCACCCACAGTAACAACAGACGGACGGACGTCTGCTGATGCGCAAAAGCTCACTATAGTTTGTATGCAGTCGTGTGAACAGGCTAACCGGCCTCTGAACCCCCTACAATAGGAATGACATCTTCTGAGGTCTTCTGAGATCAGTACTTAAAATTTAGTGAGTGATAACACAGATTTTTATTATAGCCTTAGGGGGGATACAGTTGATCGACCCGTATTGAATTTTCCCTGCAATTTTTCGCACTTTCAAGCGCCCATATACACATCTATTATACACAGGATCAAGAAGAACAAAAACTGCAGTTGCTCAGTGAACAAAACCGACTTGCCGATAGAGGTGCAGCAGAAATGGTGTTACTCCAACTGGCAGCCTCCAGAGGTAAGCGGTGAATAATTTCTATCATTGTTTCGTTTAAGTGTGCATGTCACTTTTTACATGACTGGAAACCGTGAAAGCGTTTTAAACTGTGGAACTGCTCATGACGATCACGCTCTTCAGAACTTATTAATAGGCCATTATGTCCTAAAGGGATATATATATATACATATATATATACCTGCTGAGGTGGACACATGTATAATACGCTATATATATATATAGCATATTATACATGTGCCCACCTCAGCAGGTTAAAATACAATGTTCGTTTCAGTCGTTTCACTTTCTAAGTGAAGTTCAACGTACAGTACTGTGAAAATATTTCTAGTATGATCACCTGAAGAAGCATTTACAGGAGAAACGCTCATTACAACCAAATCGATCATTCACAAGTGACGACATACACCATGTCCAACGTTCTCAATCGAAGCACAGTAAGACCTGCCTGACGAAAGGGAGAAGCCCCAAGTCAACGAGAACCGTGTATCAACACAACACAGATATAGGAAGAGCTTTAATTTACATCGTATTCGTGTCTAAAGATATGTTATCAGGGGGTCCAATGGTCCCGGTATAAGCCACCAGTCGGAAGTGGACTCACGTTCACTGACAGCTGATCTCGGGCTTTGGTTGGTCAACTTCTTCAGCCCGCCTGTTTGAGGACCGGAATAGAAGCGGAAGGGGGTATCTATGGTAAAACAAAATGTCAACACACTGCATCCTACTACGGTGGAAGTGGTTAGACGGTCTGCCAATGTTAACTTAGTTTACGTGGACTGTTGGATCATGAGCAGGCAGATACTGGGTCAGAAAAGTGCAAGAGCCGAAGTAAACTTCTAGTGAAAGCATAACACAGGGTGACGTAATCCAAGAGTGACCGCTTCAGCCGTCGCCATGTTTCAACGTCCTCCTGACCTTGGCTACTATCTGGGCGCTCTGTAACCGTCCGGAAGAGTTTTCTGGGGTTATCGTTGCGACCCGCTACTTCTAGGTATTCTACAATGATTCTAGTTATGGATTTCCTAATCCCGCTTCCAAACCCTGATGTGTGATGCGACCTAATTTGTTCACTAAACAGCCACAACGCGAGTCCAATGTTGGGCGACCACAGTGTTGCGGCCGGGATGGTTCTTAGCAGTGCGTTGTGGAGTCTATGATTCAGACAATCCGCCGCCAAACCTGTCTGAATTATCGAGTAACCATAGGGCTGAATGATCACTTTTGTAGAATCGGCGCGTCAAATACTGTGTGTAGATCTCGGGGTTGCAAAAGGCTGCTTGCCCGGATGGGGATCGAATCCATATAATCCGCGTTATTGACACGGCGCTCTAATCAGCCGAGCTACCGGGCTGTACTCAGACGTTCCCTTTGACACTCTTTGAAGACTGTATTTTTATCTAGCTTACCTTAACCGTAAAATTACTACTGTATGGTGCAGGAAACACGAACACGTGTTGGGTATTGCCTCATCTGCATACTGTATCAAGTTCATGTTCGCATCAATCAATAAGTAGGATTAATGACTACCTTGGTGATGAGTGTCAGACTGAGTATCTCCTGTTACTCTGGTTTGGGTGGTCGCGGTTTGCTCCGAGTTACACACACGTCTTACGCAATCAAACTCTGAGGAGGTATGATCTAGTCTAGCATATGAAAGTGAAGAAAGTACAGACCGCACGTTGTCCTTCTAACGCCGTATGAACTACTTGAAGTTAACACTTCACTCCACCGACGGTGATCGGTCGCGCGTAATTGACAGTGTGATGGGGTCCAACAACTGTGTGTTACCAATCAGTTTGATTGTCCTGTTCCCACGTGATGATACAAATGTGATTCCACGTTCCGCTTGCAACCTTAGGTTAACAATTCGTTCGGATTTCTTGCAATTATTCAGACTGGTCTCTCTCATCAATGTGTCTTTATAACCACTGCTTTATGAAAAACATCGATACCTGTTTGACTGGTTACTAATACACGCTACAAAGTATTGTCTTCTACTTTTCCAGTTCTAAAGGAACCGTAACGGACACGATACAACAGTTCGCTAATCTCTTGAACATCACTCGATAAGTTTACAGGCACAAGAAATCAGCGCCTAAGTTACATAAATATTGTTACCATTTACTTCGTTTGAAAAGAATTCATTCGGTGGAATCTATTTTCACTGTTTACGTGCGTTTTCCTTAGGTGAGGTGACGCCGGTTGCTCAAGCCAGTATTGAACTTGGCATTGCACTTCTGTTGGGCGGAAATGTCTCCGTCCAAAGTCGCATGCTGGAATACCTGAACCGTAAGAAACTGTCCGGATTTTTCACCAGTCTTGCTGGATTGATGCAGAGTTGCTCTGTTCTGGATTTGGATACGTTTGAACGGTATGTCTTATCGTCACCATGTCCTGAACCCATGTAGTCCAGCGGACGTTTCTTTCAATGACCCATACAGAATTTAACCAACCCAAAACTTTAAATCAAACGAACTTTTTCTTTTTACCTTGATAGGTGTGATGCGATTACAGAGATTTCACATGAAACATTAAGGTTTTATAATGTTGTGCTGTTTACTCAATACGAACAGTCTAATATTTCCAATGTGCTCTGATGGGCATATATTGAATCCCCATAACTCCTCCGTTTACCCAGCCTTTCATACTTATCAACTCGGCATAATTATCTTATTCTCACCTGTTAACAATGTTTCAATCCTTTGTCTCTAATCTGTTACAGGTGTAATAAAGCCGAGGGGCTCGCCGTCGGCCTGTCGGACATGAAGGGTATCACCAATTTATATGACGCCGATTTTACATGCAAGATATTCCGATTCTTGCAGCTGCTTTGTGAAGGTCACAATTTAGGTGAGCTTAGAAGACCACCTAGACATCAAAGGGGTACCCGAGGGTGAAGTTTGAATTTGATTGCTTTATCTCCCTGTGATATGCGGTTGCTCATATTGTACCATTCAAAAGCTGGTGTTGGTTCGGTAGATTGAAATCGTGATGTGATAACCAATATCCAACAAGTGTTTTTCCAAGGGTTTTTGTTGCACATAGGCTGACTGCTATCTCATTTACTCCTTCGTCTATCTGGATGGAATCAGCTTATCATTTTTCTCAGTTTCTGATTCGATATTCTCCGGGGCACCGAAGTCATGTGGTTTTTCTTGATAAGTATTGAGCGAACGGGGACACTAGAATTTGAATACCGGTGTCCTTGGATCGCAACTTTCACGTTCCCATAAAACATTCGGCTAACTCATTTAAAGGAGCTGTGCCATTTACTACTGGAAAGCAGCAGCGTACGCAAACCTACCTTACTGCTGGCGAGGAGGTCTTGTCTTGACCAACACTCCGTCGACCCTATGTTATACATAAGTAAACAACCTCACCTTAATAATCTGTCACAAATACTGAACGGCAGTATCCACGTGGTTTGATTGCCTCTAGAAAGGATACGGTGGAGGTCTTGCTAAGTCCAGTTGATCACCTCTTCGAACAGAATTTCACAGTCAGATTGTAGTCACCGACCTCATGGAACCTACTGAACAGTGTTTTGTGTATTATTGACTAGGTTTAGATTTGAAATCTTACCCCTAAGCACCACCTATTTTTAGGCACAACCTTATTGGTGGATAAACTTTGTGTTGTGTTGCCGTCACTTGTGTCAATAATTATCAGACCCAAGAATGGCATGCAGCCTCTCCACTGAGTATGCAGTTTCTTGTGTGTTTTGACCATCTGGTTATACTGGTACTGACAGAGGGGTTCGTATGACATGTTGAAGTTTTCGTGGAGAATTGACGTTTTGTTGTAAACATCGGTTGGCTGGGTGTCGCCGTGAATGTTATTCACCGTTACTTTGTTGAGTGTGTTCTGAGAATGTCAGTGATGTCGATCTTTTTGTAGGGTAGCTTTTACCATGGGGAAAACAATCTGGTTATCAAAACCGAGCTGTAGTTTTCTGATTTTCCGTTACGACGTTAGCATTTCCCCCAGTTGAAGAGCCAGTACTAAACCGGAGTTGAGACAAGACAGCCGAACATGATGGCATAATTGTTTTACGATACCTCTCATCGTGAAAGGAAAATTTAACGTAATACGTGTATAAATTCCGTCGTCGATACTTCGGCGCGGATCTAATCAACCTTATTTTGCTGGCGGCTGACATATCACGTTTTTTTCTTATAAGGAACTATTCTCAAACCTTAGTATACTCGAAAAAAATAAACGAGGTCATGTGCCTGATTATTTTAGTTTTATCCATTAGAAATAAAGCCCATCAGTTATTAAGGTTCATAGTAATTGGGGCGGTTGTGCATCCTCTCGAAGAGAGAATAGGGCGTTTAGTTATGTGTTGCTAACAAAGTCAGGTGTGAGTTTTGACGGCCGTATTAGACTCAGAATAGGAGTTTATACATCTAATGTAATGGACAGTAAATAACCATGTTCTGTTGTGACACAATCTCACAAACGTTTAGTTTATTTTTGAGCGGAAGGGGCATAAACTTCGTTGAATGAGAGCTAACACCGGCAGCAGAAAGGAAGCAATCGGAATATATAAAGAGCAGTTTTAATAATGCTAGCTGGTACATGTTAAATATTTAATGCAAGTACTGTTTTCATTCTCTCAATAAGATTAGTAATTACTAGTGGTCTGCAGAGTTATATGGAAACAGATTCTACGAGAATATGACGCACTTTGTTTAGTGCTCTAATACAACCAAGCTGCTTATCATATTTACCGGAGTTCGACAGTCAGAACTAATGTATCCGGCCGTCGTGGTTCCATTCAAAATAAAGGTGAAGCAAAGCAAATTTGTCCCGTAACGAATGTGATCAGTGAAGTCATGAACAGTTTTTCGCATAATGTATCCCTTGAACACATTTCGCTGAATCTCATCAGGTACATACTGCAGTCTGTGAGTTTATATAGCAAAGTTCAATGGACATTGTGAAGCTAAAGGATAACATCAATAACCACACAAACACACGTACACTCACACACATCCATGCACAACAGTTACCAAGGTAATCTGGTACTGACGAGCAAACCTTTCTGTACGCAGATGGTTGGCATCCATTTACTAATCGCTACAGTCTCCGCGAACCGGAGAAGCCTTCCATTTTTTGTCGCGTAACATATCCGAAAGGCTTTCTCCAGATTCAGTTGGGTTTGACAAGTCAACGGTGTCGAGCGATCGACGATGTTGGTTCCTTGTGATTTGTCACATTCTCACTTGAGTCCTGCATTGTGGTATCCATGATCGTTATGAGAACCCAAACTGGAATGTGTTCGTTGACCCGATTACCTAACTGTCGCTCCCTTCTACCTATGTGAGTGACCCGGTACTCACACGAGAATTCATAGATGATGTAGGATTTAGCGTTAAGTGGTAGCGGTGTTTTCAGATGTGTTGTTGGGATTCGGGTGGTGGTGAACAGTTGGGCTGCACAGAACGTACCCCGCATAACAGCCGTGAGACGGCTTTTCAACAAAGTGGCAATGTCATCAGCCTTGTATGGCAAACGGAGGTAGACATTTAGTTTGGGAGCTGTTGAACACATCGCGACAGCCCGGCTTTTGTCTGCTGAATTTCTCAACAAATGCCGACGGATAGCCATTTTCTTTGAACGTGATTCTCAATAATGACATCTCGTTGACCAATGTTTCGCCCGAACAGATTCTTCTTGTGCGATAGAACAAACTTCTCACCAGATCCCACTTGTACTGGATTGACACAAAACTGCGAAAGTTAAAGTACTATCCAGTTCAAGTATGTTTCCGGTAGACGGATCGTAGTAAGGAGCTGTTGTTCTTGCACTTCATGAGGATATCCAAAAAAGCTAGGGTTTCATCCCGTTCGTACTCAATGGTGAAGCTAATTTTAGAATTCAGCTCGTTCACTGAATCGAATTTACTCGTTGCCATCTCTTTCGTGTCGGTAAATATCAATACACCATCAACATGACGGTAGTAGAAGTGAGCCTGACTGATAACAGCGTCAACGTATTGCTTCAGGTGGGTAACGAAAATAACGGCTAGTAGCAGTCCGAGTGGACTGTTTATAGCGACAGCATCGAATCGTGTACAGTTTTGTATATGTATTTTGTATATGTGTGTACAGTTTTTCGAACCATAGATTGCCTTAGGGGCTGAAGTAGTTGGACCAGCCAATGTGCCAACTTGTGCTGTGGTGAGTTGGAAGTGGATAGTATTGACCTCAGTGGTACACCAACCTTGTGAAGTTTCGGCGAGCCATACAGCTGAGGAGTATGTGATCTTCTAGGTGCAATTGACTGTCGTTGATTGATCAATGAAGTCTCCTTCTAGCAACGCTTGTACTTCCTTGTTAATGCGTC